CCATTCTCCAGTACTTGATTCTACAGTGAATTTAGACCATTACAACCATCTTCTACTCCAATCACATACAAAGCAAGAGGAGGTAATTTTTAGGCAACAATACCAAATTGTGCTGTGAAGACATTGGAACCATCTCTAACGCTGTTACATTGGACTGATGACACTGGTGGCCTTTAACTAGGGATTACCACCGGACCAAACCACCCAGTGCCTTCTGGTTATGGCTGTGCCCTCTCTCCACCTCAAAAGCTCTGTATCCACACCCTGCATCCTAACCCATACCTTCCTCTCTCCCATCCATGCCCAGTGTTTAATATAAATTCACTAGCATATCACCATAACTACCTCAACATGACTTTAATTTTTAACTTATTCCTGGTACAGGAATGCTTTAAGCATGTTAATAACTAAACAAATGAACATTTCCTTTCTCCTCTTTATTTTAGAAATTATTTTTGTTTCATCATTGGTTTATCAGGTTTTGAGATTTGGCATCTGAAAATACATGATTTTGTGCTCATGATTTTTGCTTTTATCACTGGTATTTTTGAGTTCTATGTTTTCCTATGTTTGACTATTAAATGAAAGCAAGGAGTGTGACCATTGCAGAGAATTTGGTTCATGATAATATGTACTATGACAAAAATCCCAATTTCCACTTTATCATTTGTTCTACCATCATAGTACAAATATCTGTGAGTAATGTTTAACAGCAACAGTACTCCAAAATCATCCACACGTTTATTCCCAAACTTAAGAAATAAGTACTGAAAAAAGTCAGGAAGGCATTTCCTTAATTTCTAGATTTCTGTCTATAAAAAAGCAAAGAGTGGTCATACTTTTAAGTCTTTTGTTGAAAATGCAAGCAAACTATAACCCAAACAAGGGTCAATTTTATATTCTGTTCCTTCAAAGAAATATCTAGGCTGAGCATGGTGGCTTATACCTGTCATTTCAGGTTTCTCTCTCTCTCTCTCTCTCTCTCTCTCTTTCTCTCTCTCTCTCTCTCTCTCTCTCTCCCTCTTTCACCTTTAGAGAGTGTTGCATTACTCAGCCAGCCTTAACACATTCTCTTCCCATTTTCTCTTACATAAGTGTTCTCTTAATAAAATCTGCCCATATTTAATGCTTTCTTGCAGCTGTTTCTTGGAAGATCTGGACTAGCATAATAGGTAACTTCAAACACTGACCCAATGCTCTTTGGAAAATCAGTCATTCCATTTTTAACCACCTTATTGATCTGTTTTACTGATTAGCATAATATATTAATATTATACTAAAAGAAAATAATTGTTCTATGACATTTTATAATAAATTCATATCACACACAAAATCTAACCATAAGTCATTAGTCTCCTCTGAATTACAAATGATTGAGCCTCCATCATGAGACACACCTTAGGCACATACTCAGTAAATTATCACGCATCCTTCTGAGAGAATGAATTGACACTGATTAGAAAGTCCATTGCTTAACTGGACGTTAATCTTATTTTCAACATGAATGAATGAAATGAATGACATATGTAAAAAACATTAACATCCTTTTTATTTCTAAGTAATTTCTCACACTTTCAAAAAGGGAAGCAAAGATTAAATGTCATTCTACTATTTTGTTAATAAATCCTCCTCACTGAATGTAAATTAGTCTCCTAATTATTTAAAAATATTTTAACATATTTCCATCCACAAAAATACTTTATCAGTAATGCTGGCATTAAATTTGAAGATTAAAATATGATTTTGTTAATATTACCCATAACTATTAGTTCTACCTTATATTGTACATTTTAGGCACATGCCCCATTTCAGAATCTGCTATACTAAAATGGTCTTGAGACCAGTTATTTTATTGTTTTTATATTTTATTTTTATTATTGTTATACTGGGGGTACATTGTGACATTTACAAATATTCCTTACAATTTATAATAATTGAATTCATCCATCCATCATTCTCCTTTATCCCCCTCCCCTCACTCCTGGAATAGTTTCAGCAGGTCTCATTTTTCCATTTATATGCATGTGTACATAATATTTCTACCATATTCACCCTCTGACCCCCTTTCCTTACATCCTCCCACTCCTTCTGATATCCACCCCCAGACAGGACCTGTTTTGCCTTCTGATTCTCTGTTTTCGTTTGTCTCAGATAGCTATACACAGTGTTTCACTGTGACATTTCCATATATATGTTATAACCCAAATTGGCTCATCTCCTCTATTTTTCTCCTTTCTACCTTAGACCCTTTCTCATGGTGATTTCAACAGGTTTAAATTCTATACTCATTCTTTTTTTTATTTTATTCATATGTGCATACAAGGCTTGGGTCCTTTCTCCCCCCTGCCCCCATCCCCTCCCTTACCACCCATTCCTCCCCCCCCCTGCCCCTCACCCCCTCAATATCCATCAGAAACTATTTTGCCCTTATTTCTAATTTTGTTGTAGAGAGAGTATAAGCAATAATAGGAAGGAACAAGGGTTTTTGCTGGTTGAGATAAGGATAGCTACACAGGGCATTGACTCACATTGATTTCCTGTGCGTGTGTGTTACCTTCTAGGTTAATTCTTTTTGATCTAACCTTTTCTCTAGTTCCTGGTCCCCTTTTCCTATTGGCCTCAGTTGCTTTTAAGGTATCTGCTTTAGTTTCTCTGTGTTAAGGGCAACAAATGCTAGCTAATATTTTAGGTGTTTTACCTATCCTCACCCCTCTATAGGAAGTACAGCAACCATTTTCACCTTCTTGTTTTTCATTTCATTACTCTAATCATGGTTTGTGGTGAATCCTGCACAGAAAATCTACTGAGCTGTGGTATTAGTGGCCCACTGGTTGATAGCATGTACTCCAGAAATGTAGTTTGAGGAAAGGGGACTCCCCACCAGCATGCATTGCACATACTTTTAATTCTATGAATAACAATGTTGATCCAAAAAACTTTATTTTAAATTTTTGATTAACCTATGATAATTATACATATTTATAGAGTCCTTGCATATTCCAATACATGTATCTAGTGAGTACTTATCAAACCTGGGTAACTGACATTCGCATCTCCATATCATTTCTTTATTTTTGGAGTTTTTGAGCTCCTCCCTTCTAGTTCTTCATAAAATATGTAGTAGGTTGTTGTGACCTAGAGTCGCCCCACTGTTCTGTGGAACACTCGAACTTATTCCTTCTAAGTAGCTGTACCTCGGTCATCCATGACCCAACTTCTCTCTATCTCCCTTTTCCCCCAACCCTTCCCAACCTCTAGCAATCATTATTCCTCATCCAGATTAACTCTTTTGAGCTCCCACATATAAAAGAGAAAGTACAGTATTTGCTTTTCTGTTTTGGCTTATTTCAGCTAACATAATAGCCTACAATTCTATCCATTTTGCTGCAAATGACAGGATTTCATTCTTAAAATTCTCTTTGGCTTCCTATGTTGTACCATAGTTACAAATGGAATAAAACTCTCTAACATTATGAAAAAATAATATCCAGAAACCAAATTTAAATAGCCAATTGATAGAGGCCAGTATACTTACCCATACTGGGGTCTGAAATAGATATAAATATTTTCCAATGCCAAATACAAAACAAGTAAATATTTTCTGGTTTTAGCCAGTGATTGTTTCTATGCATTTGAAGTTCAGTGTAAAACCAATACTCCTGTGCACAGACTGAAAGTACAAATTGTCTTCTCTGCTTATTGGACCACAGGTGCCAGGATCTGAATCAACCTTAACACTACCAAATAAAATAGAATCACCACTCCATGTCAAATGTGTTAGAATGCATGCATCCTTACAGCAAGTGATATAAATGTCAATCTTAAATAACTGGATTTAAATAATCTTAAATAATTAAATAATTAACACTGCAAGGCCCACTTAAAAATTTTCAGTTGAGGTGCCAAATAACTAAGCAGTACTATGCAAATATTCTTATGTCCACTATGGTATAAAAGAATGACACTGCAATTCAGGATATGTCTGCTGTTTGGAGAATACGACACAATTTTGGTGTATATCATACTACTTGAAAGCCTATAAATATTTATAAACTCAGCTATTAACCTTCGCTAGGGCCAATATTTTGATCATTCACCCATGGGTTTAATCAAACATTCTCAAGACCTAAGACTATGTAGAAGGAACATACAGAATGATTAATTGAGGTACAAATAACTAAAAAGGTCAAAGGACAAAAGATTCCATTTACGATGTTTGACATAATACTTCAGTTTAGTGTCAAATCTCAGATTAAAAATGAAACCAGAATATAAGAACTCCCCCAACTGTCAAATAATATGAAATGTCAATATTCTTTATAATTTACTTATAAATTAAAAATAAAATCTCTTCTAAAATTGACTTCCCCTGTTTTCAATTAAGTCCTTGTTGGCGAGTGTTAAAAAATGCATACACAGTGTGATGTTACATTGGCAATAGCATATTTCCGTTTTAATGCTATTATTAAAAACAATCATGAAAATAAATAAGACGTGTAAGTCATTTAGATTGTGTTTAAGCAAGAGTGGCTAGTACCTACAACACTGCAAAAAGAAAACAGTATTCAAGTCGTGGTCTAAAGCATATTCCCCAAGTGGAAGAAAAGCAGTTACTTTGGTTTTCCGTTTCCTTTAGATCTCATTCTAGTTTTACCACTGGATGAAGGTTTGTATATTTGACAGCTGATTGATACATACCTTGTTATTTCTACCTTCTTCTGATATTTTTGTAGTGTGAGAACAATATCAGGTTTCATGATGCTGATTGACAGGTGACAGAATGACCTTACCCTCAAAGGTGGACACTTGCTCACCCCTCTGGAAGCCCTGCTCACAGTTCTGTACGCCACCGTCTTAATCATCACTTGCTTGATAATTAGAATAAGACAAGAGACTTCCTTTGGCATGATGAACTGTGTGTGTGTCATGTGACACCTCTGATTCACGCTATTCATTTATACATCATGACTATAAAAAAGTTTGTTGTTTCTCTTACTTACCTAAAATCCTACCCAGTACCAGAGATTTGACTGCACTGAATTCTGTGCCTGATGACAGGTGGACTTTCCTCGTATTATCATCAATCTACAGAATTGTTACACAAGATACAATGATCCAGATGGGTGTTGTTTTATTGAGAAAACGACAGGAAGCAAGAAAGACAAAATAAACAGATAAAATGAGCAATTTTTAGCATGGCCCTAAAGGTTTAGGAAAAATATTTAAAGAAAGCCTTTAAAAAGATAGTTATTTTCTATACTATATTCAGATACCACTTTACACTTTCTGTCCCCTTGTATCACTTTATTTTTCTTCACTGCCTAAGAAATCCAAAATGGGTAAAACCAACAAAAAGGTGTGAGTCATTTTTCACCTCAGTACTTTTACTTAGCTTGGTATTTTTACTGGAATCATGCAGCTAGGAAATTTTCCTCTAGGTAGAAAGCTGAAACATTAATGCTTTTTCTTCAAAAGCTGAAGCAGTGAAGTCCACTTTGCCGTGACTCACATCCTTTCTTAAAATTTATCCTGATATTGCAATCATTGTTTTTCTGTTCTAGAGTTATTGCTGCATTTAGACCCATCTAAAATAAATGACCCAAGCCTTTGCTTATTCAATTATGATTACATTTCTGCTGTAGGTACTTTATGCTGGGGGAGTAATAATATAGCTTCAGGTGGGTTTTCTGTATTACCTCTACAAAGACCACTCCTTCTTCTCTGTTCATCTTCATGTGGTGAAGCTGTCCATCAGCCATGCTTTTAAAATCAAAGTTAAGAAGATCAGGTTCTTGATATCTATTTAACTTGTACCTTATCTGCAAACTTCCTAAAGTACGAAAAAGAGTTATATTTTTAGTAAATAATGCATTTTTAAAACTACTTATAAAATCTCAAAATCCTTTAATTGTCATTAGTATTTATTCATTTTCAGGGAAAAATTCACCATCATTCATTTGAATGTACACTTTAAACATAGAATTCCTAAAAGTCAGATTTTAAATGAAATAATATTTTCAAAATTAAGACCAAACTATTACTCATAAGTTATCTCTTTCCTGCAAATTTTAGATTTCATCACTTAAAGTCAGTTCCAAGATTAAGCATGTATAAATCTCTGCACTAACATCTAACTTAATGAAGGAAAATAAGACTAAGTATTTGTACAATGCCAAACTATTATGGAATATTATAGTAATATTCTCTTTCTATAATCTTGTATTTTTAAATACATATCTCACACCTCTGAAAGATATTGATAATAGGCTTATTATTGTTATTATTGACTAATAGAATTATTATAAGCAAGTGTAGCTTTATTGAAGATGAGAAATATTTATTTCCAAGTGACTATGGTCACAGACTTTGGAATGAAATTAAGCTGAAAACAATGGTTTTAAGCCAAATTTACCATTAGAATTAATACTACTTCATTGCCTGCAGAGATTTCAATTAATTTATTTCACAGGATACATTCCAATTACCAAAGAAAATGTCCCAATGTATAGATAAGCTTCACACTCAAGTCATACCATGAAAGTAAATGAATGCACTGATTGAACAACAGTATTTCCATTGTAGTGTTCAGTCCCCTTAGGCCATATTTCAGACAACCCTTACATATTCATTTTTTTTCTCACCCAGAGAATTTGTTACTAAAGTTTTCATCTTTCATCCAGATATAGGGTAAAAAAATAGAAGTCAGTGGCTTTTGTGTTAAGGTTTATGTAGCAAACACATATCCTAATCCACAAACCATTACCCTGTATGAATACAGCAGTACTTCCTATGACTATGTGATTGCTTATTACTAGAGCCAACTGGTCATCTTGCAGACATTTTCTTATGAATAATGCTGATTCATTAACACTCCCTTGATATTCTTTGCCACGATTGCAAGGAAATATTTGATACACAATGAGACATTTTATTTCAAACAAACCAAAAACCCAGACTGATATTCATGCAAACTACTAAACCGCTCCTAGCAATATTAAAATACAAAAAAAAATTATATGAATGAACTAAATCCTTGTGTTGCTACACAAAATTATCAAAATTAAAATGATACAAAGGCATCTTGATTATTTTAAATAATGCTTGTAGATTGAATTTATGGGATCATTCTAAAAGAACAAGATGAATATTAAACATAAGCATATTCTTGCACCCCTGGTTGTTGTGTGAAATACAAGACTCAAGAGTGAACCATACCGTTACTGCTTTCATGTTCTAATTCAATTTTCTCTCTCTGTCTAGAAGCACTCACCATTTCTGGCAATGATAACTGAAAGGTACTCTTTGTAAAAAGAACTCATATAAAGCAGCAAGCTTGGTGCTCGTGTTGTTCGGAAACTAAATTTGATCATTTCTCTGCTCAGCTTCATATCACCATGAAAAGAAGCAGCATGGGAGCTGGAATTTTTACTTAAGGAATAATTTTCTTGAAAATTGTAAACCACAGATGAGCCAGATCCAAAATATGCCGAAATCTCTGAAAAGACATACACATCTTATGTTAAAAAACAAAAGAAAGTTTTAAGTACAAGGATCTCTTTTAGTCATACTAATTGATGTCTTAATATTTTTAAATAATGACTTCCACAGATAGAAGACATAGCCCCAAACTAACATCACACAGTAAATCAATAGACCTTTTATGTGACCCTTGAAGTGGGTTTATGTTAGAATGACATGTAATTAATTTGTTAGTCTAACCTTACAACTGAAAGCCTTAATGCGCTCTTATTTGCATTCAGACATAAGCCAGGATTCATCTACTTTCTTATTTAAATTTTCACTCCCATCTATTATTTTGTAGATAGAATACACTAATCTTCCTGTAACAGGAAAGAAGGGAGGATAGGGGATGAGGAATGCTTTTCTTTTCCAGAATCATTAGATAGAAATGCTCCTTTTAGTCTGAGTACTTTCTCGCATGTATTGTGCACTACAGAAAGAAAAGCTAATTCTAACATTGGATGTGAGAGAGAAAGAAAGGCATTTTCTTAGGAGATTACACAGTCTGTTTTAAATCATTTAATGGAAGTGTTGTATTTTACCTCTATGAGATTACTATGTCAAATTTACAGACATACACAGCCAAATATGTGTGTGTGTGTGTGTGTGTGTGTGTGTGTGTGTATAAAAGTGAAGACAAATAGAAGGAAGAATAATTTGTTCTGAATCCCTGAACTCATCTGTTCACTACTATAAAGGTCTGGTTGTTGAATACATCATAGATGATGCTGATTGGGTCACATAACACCATTTTGATCCTCTTGGCATTTAAAAAATGATTACTTTCTTTACCTATAAGATGTCTTTTATACACAACAAATGTGTGCATGCAGAGTAACATTCCTGATTGCATTTAGCCAGATGAACTGGAAACTATATCCAGAAAATGAAGACATTTTTAGAAAGAAGGGGTCATAAGTCAAACTTTAAACATAAAAAGTCTCCAAGGATGGCACCAGTGGTGTGTGATTACATTCACAAGTGAATTTGGAAATTACAGCTTATTCTTGATAAAAGCATATGCCTTTAAAAGTACATTTTCACCAGGTTTTCATTAACTGATCCCAAGGTTTTCTTTGCAAATCAGGAGTTGCTTTTATTTGGAGTCAATTTCTGTTAGTCTCCTTCAGGAAAAGGTTCAGTAGCCCAGAGACACTTAAGCAAAGTAAACGGATTTAAATTAATTGGATGTCAGTTTTCTATGAAAGTATAATAAATGTTTATATATTCAAACATAAGTCTGTCCAAAACACTTACTACTACACTCTGTTCTTCTTCATCCATGGCATAACTAAGTGAATAAGGGAAACTACAGAACTGTCTGCTATTTTATTTCACCAACAAAAATTCATCATATCATACAACAAAATGTCTGAGTATCTCTACATTGTTACACATCAATGCTTAATAGGAAATATTTGTTTGGCCAAAAGAAAACCCAAGCCAATGAAAACAAAAATAAAATAAACCTTTCTACATTCCCTGGCTTTTTTGAGCATTTTTGTTAAAAGTTAAATCACCACATAATGATTTTAAAACAGAGAACTGCCCCATGCGGCAGGTTGAGGAAAGTCAGATTCTTTAAGAGCATCAAAGTTAGAAAACAAAAAAAAGCAGATTGAGCAACTAACACTTGAAGGCAGCTGGAGACACCTACTCATGGAGTTATCAGCAACAGCAAACTCAATTCTCAAGAAATGAGTCAAATATCTAAGAAACAAGAGATGATTAGCATTCACTAGATACATTGCAAGAGAAATTCAGAAATGGAAATATTTTGTTTCTAATAGCTACCAGAAAGAACATCTAGATGTTTTGTTCCTAATGAGTAAATTTTCCTGTTAATGTCTCTTGTCCCACCTACCCTTGGAGCAGAACGGCCCCATGTAGGCAGAGGAAGTGCAGTCACAGAAGAACCCACTGGGCTTTTCCCTACACTTTCCTCCATTGCGACATAACTTCCCATAGCTGCCACAGTGTCCCCGACAACCTGGCTGGACCCCTGGAGTCACTGTGGCTCTTTCTTCCAGATCCAGGACCATCCCGTTCAACTGCAGAGACCGGATGCATCCCAGAAAGCCTCTCTGTCTGGTGGCCGTCCCACCTGGAAAGGAAATACGGCAAATGCAAACATGTTCTTGGGGTTTAAATTCCAAACACTCCAGAGGCCTTACAGAGAAGAGCAAAAACTACAGCCGCAACTGAATCTGGGAAACACAGTTTTTGACCAAATGATTGTGACGTTTTCGATGTTGTATTTCTTACTTGGTTTTTAAAACAGATTTATTAAACTTTAAATTGGGGAAGGTTTTTTTGGTCAGTCTCTTTATCACAAAGAACAAAATTAAAGCCATACTGTTTACTTTCATTGTCTTTGTTTTGTAACTGGGTTTTGCTTCTTGGTTTTTTATTTTTCAATATTAATAAATGTATATGATGGGTAAGTGAAAGCATGTCTTGAAACCTGATCATAGTCTGGTAGTTTTCACTTTGCAAGCATCATTAAGACTATTCATTGGTATGGTTTTTTGGTTGTTATCCACTCATCAGAAAGATAGTAATTATCATATTACTTTTTTCTGGAACATTTCCCAGTGGGCTTTTTGTTTTTTCTGAAAGTTGGTCTTGTGTTCATTATTTTTATATGTGAGAAGATGAAGAAACAGTGGTGTAGCGCCTACTGAGTACATAACTCATCACCTTGAAGAGGTTTACAATGCTTGGGTGAAATCAGACCTCACTATCCTATGGCAGTTTCTCAAACTTTCAGGAACATAGCACCACATATGGAGGGCTCCTGAATACACAGATTCTGGGGCTGGTTTTGTAGTTCAGATGTAGGATTGCAAATCTAAAATGTCAGCAAGTCTTACAGGTGATGTAAAGCAAATGACACCTGACCACCATGCGTAAGCACAATCCTCTAGGTACATAAACCATGAGCTTATGAACACCCTAAATTGATACTCAGAACTTTTAGTGGGATCTTGTATAAATAATCTATATAATTTTGCCGAGATGATCATGGAGCCTCTTAAAAAAACCTCCATCTTTGAGCAGATGGTGTCTTAGCACCAGGATCGCATAGCTACTCTATACATATTCCCTTTCTACATGTTCACATCATCCTTTCCCAAGTCACTTAGCTAACTCCAAACCTAGTCTTAATTACTTGGGGTCTTCTTATCCTCAGACACTACACAGTTTTATGTAGTTCAGGCCCTGAAAATTTGTCATCAAAACCCTCAATAGGTCTTTGTTGTCATCTATTGAGTCTTACATCTCACTAATTTAATTTTTATCAGGGCCCCTTAGTTAGAGTATGCATTTGATAGGAGCTATTTCAATCACTGTTCCTGACACACAGCCATTTACTCATTAAATCACATAGCATCAGAGTGGGAGATTGGGCTTAGGGTGTCCAGGGTTGAAGAAAAGATACTTTCTGCCCTACAGGAATAAAAACCAACCTCATGAATTTTTCTGAGTAAGTCAATGATACATTTATGAATAATGAAACATCATGAAATATGAATTCCTGAGAATTTTGGACTCAGGAAGTACTAATACTCTTTAGAACTTAGACACATAGACATAATGATCTCTGTCCAAATTGTTGCATTTAAATTTCTGTATTCACACTGCTTTGGTCTACATAGTACATGCTTCGTCAATGAAGGATGGAAAGGTTCTAATAGTGTAGTCATATTTGCTCTCTCTAAATCCAGGACAAGTGTGGGGTAGAGTTAGACATACTCCAATTTCTCTTTATTTAGACGTGGCAAGGAAGGAGTCAATTCCATCTCAGAGTTTCAGAATAGCAGTCAGTCTTTGTACTTAACTCCTCCTACCTTTACCCCATCTCCTGTCACTCTCTACTCTCTCTTCTGCCCTTATTTGCAGGACTCCTTTTTTTGTTTCCACATCAAGCTGCTACTTATTTGAACTTCATGCCTCCCTGCTCTTCCCCTCTGCTAACTTAACTTGGTGAGCACCTAGAGAGCAAAGTTTTTGGTCAAGATTCCTGTGGCATCCTTGCTGGAGTTTTTTTGTCCTGGGTGAGGCAGCCTACAGCCTGCAACCTCTGTGTACCTTCAGCACAGGAAAATTTGGAGAGGGCCAGGAGCTATGACATCTGGATTAGAGGTGTGTCCCTGGGGTGTTTCATTTACTTTGGATGGCAGCATATTACATGATGGAGTGCTGTGTATATAACACAGTGATGTTAAGTTACTTTGTGATGCACTTGCTGCACTGAAACATTCACATGGCTTTAATTCAAGAGTTTACTTTAGTCTGCCAGTGAAATAACAACTAAGTAATTTTGGATCCAACAACTAAATCCTGTCCATTTTCATCTATTCTACTTCCCCTTTTCTTGTTTGTTTTAAATGATGTGGAACTAAGGGCATAAAGAAGTCCAGGATTGGCCATGGGTACAGCTGAGAAAATATCAGGATAACTACAGTTAGACGTGCAGGTTGATTTTAGAACCAACAAGTAGCTTTCATTCCAAGATAGCCCCTTTTCTCTACACTTCAAAGTATGATCAAAAAGGAAAACTCATTTTCTTCTACAGCTCAGATCAGCTTTAAGTTTGCATGGCATGTGAGTTCTCCCAGCTTCACTTAGCAGCTCTTTGCTAGATACTGTGTCTGACACTGGAGGTGCAAAGTTCGATGCAACTCGTCATGCTCTCAAAGAGCTTACAGTCTAGACAGAAACCAGTGGCTCCCACCTGCAATCCTAGCTAGCTGGAAGACAGAAATCAGGAGGATTGAGATTCAAAGCCAGCCCAGCCAAATCGTTCAGGAGACCCTATCTAGACAATACCCAAAACAAAAAGGTTTGGCAGAGTGGCTCAACTGGTAGAGAACCTGCATAGCAAACATGAAGCCTGAGTTCAAACCCCAGTACCACCAAAAAAAAAAAAAAGAGTTTACAGTCTAGTAATTTATTTAGACAGAGAGACATATGGTATTAATGGCAAAGACAGAGACAAGGTAAAAAAGAATGCTAGAGGATGGGGTTATCAACATAAAAATCAACATTATGGATGTATGCATTAGGTGCATGAATTATAAACTTAAATACGGTTGTAATAGTTAAAAGAAAATCAGTACCTAGTTTTGTAAACTGAAGTCCTTTATTTTGTACTTTCAAAGAATTAATGTTTACTTAATCCAATCATTTTCAATGACATCTTTAGATAATCAGAAAATATAATGACTAATTAGACAGAGTCATGTCATACATGTATTGAGGATTTTTACCTTGCCATTAGGTTTTAAGTAACATTTTTATTTTCAGATGTAACCATTCTAAAAAACCATGGCTCATGTAAATAGGACTGAACTTGAAAGCGTAATTAAAGATTGCAATGCTTCTTCAGGTTTAGAGTATGTCCAATTAAAATGAGTTGCAGTTTGATTAATTGATTCTGGATGTTTCTGCTGAGCCATTATGTTTGCAACTATCTTCCAATTAATTTTCTATCAATTTACTTGCCATGGTATATCAGACATAATGAATTCCAGAACTTCAAAAACACTGGGTATCTTGTGAAGCAAATGCCGAACCTTTCTATGTGATTGAATATAAGTGAATCCATCCACTTACATAACAGTATTGAGGTCTTGCACCTAAATAACTGGGCTAGGTGCTGAGTAGAGACTGAATTAGGCTTTACCTGTTGGCTCTATCCTTTCATCACGTTCATTACTCTCAGTAATGGAAGGAAGACCTTTGAGATTAAACTTTGATTATTTTTAAAGACAAATTATCCATGTGCTGTGCTTGAATATCATTCAGGATTAATTGGGAGCAACTATATAATTGGCCCAGGAGCCTTAAAGAAAGAAACAAATCATGATTTTTACACTTCTCTTTAAAAATTCAAAGTTATAGAAACTAGCCTGGCGAAGTACAGAGTCTCTCCTTGGTCTTGGCACTGTGGAAGAGACAGTAAGGCTCCAACCACAAACCAGCTTAGGACAAGAAAGTGATAGGGCATTTGGGCTGGTCCCAAGACCAAGTCAGGAGACCAAGGAAAAACATGGTCTTCTGTGTATCAAGCTTCAGATTTTGAGTTCTGTAGCTATTCTGAGAGAAGACCACCCTACAGAAATGGTGATGTAAGCCAGTGGAGAGGGTTGTCTAACAGGAAACCCAGCTTTAATTATACCATGGAATGACCTTCATTGAACAATGTCACAGAAACATGGGGAAAATGAAGAAAATTCTTCATTGTGTTCAAAGAGATATTATGGTTGGAAGAACAGCTGGTGTTAAGAACAGTGTGATAGGCAGAAAGTTCAGTCACTCTTCCTTGAACCACACTCAGTGGTGAAAACAGGTCCCAGTGATGGTACCTCAGGAAAGAGTGAGTCTCTTTACTTCTCACAAGTGGAGGCTACCACAGCTCTCTGTGTTATCAACAGAGAGTAGGATCTATTGCTTTCAGTCAATGGTCACTAAGGTTTTCCCACTGGATGTAGGAAAGTACACTGAGGTGTTCTTAGGTTAATGAAAGAAAAGATATCTCAAGGAATGGAGAAGAAAATAATTCAAACAAATGATGTGATTACTTTAAAGAGAAATATGACCTTTATTGTACTGAATTGGTATTGAGAAGACACAATTTCTACAAAAGAAAATTAGGCTGAAATAAGAATTACTCAAGCATAAGGCTGTTTGATATTCTCTTCCCATGACTATATTTTAGCATATCAAAAACTGAAAGTTAAAAAAGAGAAAAATCTAGAATATATTATAATTAAGAACTTCTATTCATCAAAAGACACCATTAATAATATGAGAGTACACTCAATTCACAGAGAGGTAAAAGATACTTATAATAAATTTATGTGGCAAAGACTAAGTCAAAATATATATAAAGAATTCTAACAAATTTATTTTTAAAAAATAGAGCGCAACTTTGTAGAAAATTGACAACAAATTTGAACAGCCACCATAAAAGAGGTCATCCAAATGGTCAACACAAATATGACCGTGATTCCTGCTCAGCAGATGCTTTGTCCCAATAATTACACTCCTACATATTCACCGAACAGAAATACGGGCACATGTTCATCAAGAAAACAG